TCGCGAAATCGAAAGTGAAAGTAAACAGCGCAAACGCTCATTCAAACATTTTTAAATACACCACATCCTGAGAGCGGCTCCCTGATGCGCCAAATTGACATAAAATATTAGAATGTTTAAAGGAGTGGACACGAAAATCGCGGGAGCGAAACACATGTTGCGGGAGCAGGCGGCAATGGTCAGAGTTCATTTTCTGAGTTGTGCTTTTAAGTCAGAATGTGAAGACAACATGGACACTCATTACTACAAAGATGTGTTGGATTTGTATTATTAGAGCTTTCCGACTTGAGTTCACGTGCATTTTCTCAGTCGGGGAATTATTTTTCACGTGCGGTGCCAGTGATGATGCTTCTTACGTCCGTTTCGGAGAACCAGAGACAAATATTTCAATCGATCGCTCAGGCATGGCACCGAAATGAGGCACCAAAATCTGCATTCGGATTCGGTTCTAGTACACTGGTGGTGACACAATTCCGTAGCTGGCACCGTGTTATGATTTTAAAATGTGCAGTGCTCATGTTTATTCAACTAAATCAAACACCACAAATAAATCAATGTATGGGAAACACTGGTAATGTATATCGAAATATCGGGAAATGTGTTTAAAAATCATATCACCGTTATTGAAAAAAAATATATCGTGATACATATTGATATTGGATTATTCTCCAGCCCTAGTAACAAGTTTTGAAGAGTTTGGATAATGCATTTTTAAAGATATAAGAAAATGACTGCTATCTTTTTTTTTTTTTACAGTTACTTTTTGTTTTAGAATCACAACAGTCACATCTATGAGATGATGTAAATTCAGATGAATGTCATGTCATAGGATGTCATAGGTCAATATCAAATAAGTGTCAAATTATTATTTGCAGCACCAAAATTTTAATCTTTTTATGTTGTAATTAACATAATTATTAACCTAATTATATAAAATTATGTTGTCAGTGCGCTACAAATTAACTGGTTCTAGGATTTTTTTTGTCCCTAAAACTGTCAGAAAAGGATAAGGCCTAAGTGATTTCTTAAGCTGTAATGCAGACAAAATCACACAGATATAAATGAATAGACCCTTAAACCATAAAGAGTGTAAATAGACTCTCTCTCTCTCTCTCTCTCTCTCTCTGTCACCACCCCCCCCACCCACACACACACACATAGAGGTAGAGTGAGATCAGATGTCTGATAGTTGTTTTTTATTTTCTGTTAGCCTTTAGAACATTATAATTTCATGAAACTAAGCATGTTTCCTCAGAATGACTTGTTCTTTATATATTAAAAGTTTTGAAGAGTTTGGATAATGCACTTTAAAAATATAAGACAATTACTGTTTCCTTTTTTACTGTTATTTTAATAAATCACCATGGCAATTTCGTTCAAGATATCCACAATCCGTTCGCAATTTAAGTTCCTCAATGTTTTGCAATCATGCTGACAAAGTTTGGTGTGAATTCCATGATTTTCAGAGGACTAGTATGCATTAATTCACAGCCATATTTTTCCAAAAATCCACATTCGAATCCAAAATAGCAGACTTCCTGTTGGCCGTAGCTGATGACTGTAAATTAGAAAGTTGTCCAGCTTCATGAGAACAATATATGTACAGAGTTTGGTAACTGTAGCTAAAACTACCCCCCCCACACACACACACACACTTTTGACAAAAGGTGGCGCTAAAAAGCGCTTCCTCTACGCCCATGAGTCTGAGTCTTTGCCAGTGTCTATCATTAATGCTGATGTGTGTGTTGAGTTTCATGAAATTCTAAGCATGTTATCTGCCTCAAAAACACAGTAAATGAATAGTAAAGTTTGACACGTTGCCATGGCAACACTATTTAATATATCAATAATCTCATCACACTTTTACATCGGCTGTGTTTTTACACTATTCTGTTGAAGTTTGAAGCAAATTTAGTAAAAAATAAGATGCTGAATTTAAAACATTTTGAAAATGACACACTTCCTGCTTCCAGTTGGTGGTGCTATAACTTTGACTCCTAATAGTCACATCTATGTGATCGGCCTCATACAGCGAACAAACTGCTGAAGTTTCAATGTCATAAGACAATGTGTGCAGCAGTTATTAGACACTTCCTGTTTATAATTTCTCGCCATAATTCCGTTGCCTCGCCATGGCCAAACTGTTTGAGATATCAAAACTTTCTCCCCTTCTTTACATTCTTTATACTGATTATTGTTGTAGTCAACATGATAACAGGTTTATTTTAAAATACACCGATGATCCTGTTATAGTTAGTCTTCTTCATTCTGATGAAAATGGTCATGGTCCTGTAATCAATGATTTTGTTCATTGGTGTGATAGAGCGTTCTTGCAACTAAATGTTGCAAAGACAAAAGAAATGCTCATTGATTTTAGACATAAATCTTCTGTTATTCAGAATACTGTTATTAAGGGACAGGCAATTGAAGTTGTGGAATCTTGGCAGTTTGATTGATAATAAGTTGAAATTTGTAGCCAATGTGGAAAGCCAACCCCATTTTATCGGCCAGTGATCATCCCCTGTACTCTGAGTTTGAGTTTTTACCTTCTGGTTTGCGGCTTAGATTTCCTTTAGTGAAGAATAATCGTTACAGATGCTCATTTATTCCTACTGCAATATTCATGCTAAATGTAGGTAATGGTTAGTGGTTAATATATATATATATATATATATATTGAGTGGGTGAGGTTGTAAATTGTATTATTAGGCTTGCGTTTTTGTATTATTTTTGTGCTTTTTATGTTTGTTTGTATGTCTTGCTGCAAAACTAATTGCCCCTTGGGGGACATGAATAAAGTTGAATGAATAACATTTTGACAATTCCTCTGTGTTAAACTGCAGTGGATCTGGGTCATACTGTACACGTATGAAAGTGGGCAGGAAAGCACACAAAGGAACAAGTGCACAGTAATGCACTTCTGTTGGGTGAGGCAGCTTCCCTTCATAATTTATTCATGTCTATAACAGCCTGTAAAATAAAGTGCTGGTAGCTTTAGTTGTTTTGTGCTGCTCTAGATTTGGCTATCTGAAAACAGTGGACCTAAAATAGGTTAAAGGAGCTATTCAGAACTAGAGAAGCCCTTACCTCCAGCAGGAGACTGATCACACTGCAGGTCCTGGAAACCTCCTGTCGGCATTTTCCGCATTAAACCAGAAGCCAGAGTTTGATCCAGCTTCTCCAAGGAAGACACCTGAAAAGCCTTCAAAACATAAGAAAAACATTACAAACCTTAAGAAAGTATTTCATGCTGAAGTGTGTGCCACTATCATCACTAAACCAAATTGTAAACATGAAGAAAGGTTTCCCAAACCCTTCTCCATCTTCCATTGGTCAGACAATCGTGTGGCTCTGTCGCAAAGTCCGTTGGTTGAACTATTGCTGGCATGTCAGCAGGGGCGGACTTACCTATTAGGCAAAGGTAGGCGACCGCCTTGGGCCCCCAAAAGCCAAGGGCCGCCTAAAATGCTTTTCATATAGGAGATGCGCATTAAGCGCTGACACCCGAACGGTTTCTGTTTACGGTGTTTATTACCAAGACAACCGTCCGAGTCAGTGGCTCCTGCAGGCTGTAGGCTACGCACTGCGACCATGAGCGCTCAGACTGACCTCAGATTTGCCCCGCAAACATTTCAGCAGTTATTATAGGCCTGTGTGTCCCATATTTCTGTCGACTGAACCAGCCATGCCATTCATTCTGAATTTATCAATCTTTTGCATGCCAAAGTCAATTTCTGCATAGAAATATTATGCCAAATAGAAGCAGAAAATCGTGCTATATGCACTTTCATGAGATCGGGTTAGGCTACAACAATGAATTTGTTGGCTATTTTACGAATGAGAATACAACGAATTCATGACAATGTTTACATTCAAGCTACCTGTAAAATATATAGTGAAAAGTACTTTAAAAGCGTCTGGAATGCAATAAAGCAATTTTAAAGCTGTTTTTTTAAAGCATTTGCTGCATGGATAAAAAATAGCAAATTATAATCGGGCCTTCCATCAATTATAGTGATGAAAAAAATAACTCGCCATCTCTTAATTGGATGTGCCTTTAGAGAGAAATGCACTGATTACATAATGAAAGAGTTTATTTTATTAGGAGTCTATTTTCGATTTGAATTATTTCGTTTTAAAGTAGTAATTTAAAGCTTTCTTCTATAGATATATTTATCATATCTGTGACTCAATTCGTTGAGTTTCGGTTCATCATTGTGAAGTCTCCTGTTCAAGATGAGACTGCAAACTCCGTATTTTAAGTTGTTTCCACTGTTAGAAAAAAAATGATCGCACTGGCGCCTCCATGTCCTGCAGAGCACGCTTTAGCTTCTACTCCTCCGCAAACGATTGGATATTCACATTTATATAGGTTAAACATTTAAACTAACATTGTGATATACTTCAACTGTTTTATATATAGATTTTATTTTAGTAGTCCTGATGATTTGAGAAGGCTAAATTGATCAAACATAAGCTATACGCTATGATCAATTCACTGTCTGCCGCTGACCGTTACTTTAAAAAAAAAAAAAAAAAACTTACATTTAACGTACAAAAAATCCTCCAAATGTTTTTCTA